TCTAGATCTTTCTTCTATCTATACACACAGAGAAATTTATATACAACACAACCGTATTTAAAATACTTACAAATTGAAGTAATTTATTCTTCACCATGATATTTACTATATATTGTTCCTATACTAACATTTAACATGTACATTTTACCAAAACAATAACAGTAGACATGTGATGGCCGCCCTCTTGCTCAACACACTGGGGATTGAAGCAAGGACCTGCAAAGCCCAAAAGTATGAATGGCCAAAGGCACAGATAGGACCTGCAATACATTGTTTTTAACAAATAGTTTATTCACCAAAAAAATGCAGTTTTGGGTCAACTGGAACTATTTGTGAATTCAGAAGTGTGAACAAATTGTTTCTGCAAAAAAAAAAAAGTCAAAATATTTTGACACTTTCAAAACAAAACGTTTTGACTTTCAGTTTCAGAGCAACATTTTGTTGAGAAGTTTAGCTAGATTTATTTCTAAAAAAAAGAAGTAAATATACCTGAAAACAAACAAAAGAAATCATTTGAATCAAACAAAACACTTCATTCAACCTGAAATGATTTTTGTTGTTGTTTTGTTTTGGTGAGAAACATTTCCATTTTATGTCAACATGAACAAAATATGTTTTGGTTCAGCCATCAAACCAAAAAAACGAATTATTCACTCAGCTCTGTTTACCAGTGAGTTACAGATGGACTTTCAACATATCATCAGCTAACTTTTTGAAAACATTTTTTCAAACTGAAGAAAGTTCATTTTAAACCAAGTTCCCTCCTGCCTGCCCACTCAGGGTTGTAGAGGAAGACCAAAATGCAGGTGACACACAGTTATGTAACCACACTGTAAATGAAAGAACTTGGAAAGACAGGCCCATGTTCTAGTGAAGCTAGATACAGGAGATATCGGATGCTATTACCAGGAGCGCCGCCAGCCTTTTTGTGATACAGGAGATATCGGATGCTATTACCAGGAGCGCCGCCAGCCTTTTTGCCGCCCCCGACAGAGGTGGCAGAAGGTCCCACCCCAGAAATGCTGACAACGACCGAGGTGGCCGAAGATCCGGCCGCCGTGGTCACCGCCCCACAAATGTTAGTGCCCTAGGCGACCGCCTAGGTCGCCTAATGGGTTGCGCCGGCCCTGGCTGTTACTGTAGTGAACCTGAGTGCAACCTGTGACAACCATTTGAGCCATAAGTATCTTTGTACTGATGTATACAACTGGTGGTTTTCACTATACATAACCTCCCCCAACTTCTTCATATATAATACTATGAACCAAATTCTGTGCTACTTACTTGAATAAAAAATCCCATTGACATCAACTTTGCTATGCTTGAGTAAAAACTGAAGCATTTAACCCATTAATATTGGATTGGTTAACAGGATTTTCTACATTCAGCAATGTGAATGGGTCTTCTGATATCTCTTAAGAGAATCAAGTGCTTTTCACCCTTGTTTGAAAATTCTTAAGGTAAGGAACCTAAAATATATAGGTTAACATGCAGGACCTTCTAGGAAAATTTCGTAATGCTTTATAATTGCATTGATTATATTAAATGCTGTTTATTCTGCATAAAATTGCACTGCTTAATAAAATTAGAACATACAAACCAACCTGCCTGCAACTCTAAATCATTTATTTTTCAATTATTTTAGACAAGTAATACATACAGCACTTCTTTTCTAGTCTAGAAATATCTCTACACTGAAATGCTGTGACTGCAAGATGAACAAAACTGGGAGTAGGCTCTTTTCTCGTCCTAATTTTGTTGATACTGGAAATAAATGCTGGATTATGGATGTACTTGGCCTCTTACAAAGGCTCTCTAGATTAAGAATCTAAAAATATGTTGCATTGGTTGATATACAGTAGTTTGGCATTGTTACAGTACGCACTATCTAATGCCTTCTATATAGAGATTACTAACAAAATTGCTTGTATATGATAATATCAATAAAAAACTGTACTGAGTGATTTGAAAAGAAGCCTATATGAAATAGGTTATTTTTTAACAAGGTATTCAGAATAAGATCTGAATGATCTGTTTTCTTTCCTTACTAAAGATTTGCTCTCTTTAGATGAACATAAGAATGGCCATACTGGGTCAGACCAAAGGTCCATCTACCCAGTATCCTATCTTCCGACAGTGGCCAATGAACAAAACCGGCAATCATCCATCCCCTGTTGCCCATTCCCAGCTTCTGGCAAACAGAGGCTAGGGACACCATCCCAGCCCATCCTGGCTAATAGCCATTGATGGACCTGTCCTCCATGAATTTGTCTAGTTCCTTTTTTAACCCTGTTATAGTCTTGGCCTTCACAACATCCTCTGGCAAAGACTTCCACAGACTGACTGTGCATTGTGTGAAAAAATATTTCCTTGTTTGTTTGTTTTAAACCTGCTGCCTATTAATTTCATTTGGTGACCCCTAGTTCTTGTGTTATGAGAAGGAGTAAATAACACTTCCTTATTTACTTTCTCCATACAAGTATTGATTTCTCCACACAAGTCATAGACCTCAATCATATCCCCCCTTAGTTGTCTCTTTTCCAACCTGAAAGTCCCAGTCGTATTAATCTTTCCTCATACGGAAGCCGTTCCATACCCCTAATAATTTTTGTTGCCCTTTTCTGAACCTTTTCCAATTCCAATACATCTTTTTTGAGATGGGGCGCCACATCTGCATGCAGTATTCAACATGTGGGTGTACCATGGATTTATATAGAGGCAATATGATATTTTCAGTTTTATTATCTCTCTCTTTCTTAATGATTCCCAACATTCTGTTCATTTTTTTCACTTCTGCTGCACATTGAGTGGATATTTTCAGAGAACTATCCACAATGACTCCAAGATCTCTTTCTTGAGTGGTAACAGCTAATTTAGACCCCATCATTTTATATGGCTCAACTATAGAATTGTCAGTACAGTTGAAGTCAGCCAAAGTCCTCAGTGATGTTCTCGTTTGCTGTATTTGCCAAACCCATAGCCTTTACATAGTAATTCTTAATTATGGTCCTAATCCTGAACTCTAATTCACATAGGCAGACTATACCTCTATAGAGTCTAACTGAAGTGAATGGGGTGCTACCTAGGTGCAGGGATGCAACCAGTACAGATCATATTGCATGATCAGGGTTTAAATTGGAATCAATGAACTACCCATATGAGCATGGATTACTTGAGTGAATGAAGACTGAAGGACTGGGACCTTAGATGGGAAGAAAGAGTCTGGATAGATTTGTATCTTTGCATGCTTTCTGGAAACAGGGTTTTCTAGATGATGATTTTAATAGTTATTTAAAAAACCTAAGAGACATTGGCCTTTGTGGAAATTTTCTAAAATATCACTGATAAAAGTTACACAGCACTAATGATCTTCTTCACACTTCTGAAATTGTTAAAAATCCTTCAAAGTCTCATAAGGGATCAGAGCACAATTCAGTTTCTCTAAGTGTGTTAAGCTTTTTTTAAGTGTAACAGAGGCTACATTTTCTATTTCTCATCAATTTTACAAGTTAAAAAGATGTTCATCCCTAACTGCACAAAGAACAAACAAGAAAATAATCTACGGTCTGAGTAATTCAAGGCAACAAGTTAAAATTTAGAATCAAACACTGTGACAATGCAACTAATCATATTAGTGTAAGGGATATTTGCAATGCAGATTGCCTGTTACATTGCAAAATTTTAATGAATTCAAGACAGCACCTTAGACCCAGCTACAAGAGAGAAATCATGCTGAGTTTAAAATGTTATGTTTCTGGGTAGCTTGAATCACCTTCTATTTGCATTATGCAGATGACAGTGTCAGAATACTTAATTTCCAGTTTTGTCTGACACTAATATGCCCTGCAACAACAAGAAAGAGACAACCAATTTTTCAAAGTTTGCTGACTTCTTGTTACTGGTGAGCAAATTTAGCAGCAAACCTCATTTTGATACAGACCATTTAAGTCTTTAAAGTATTTCTGCATTTTGATACAGAAACTCTGTTGGAACAAACAGTTCACACACCCCATCAAGATGCCTTCTCTATTCTCAAAAGAGCCTCTAAGTATTTCCCGATTCTTTTTAAAAAAATAATAGGTGCCTTTGCTTTCACAAACCTTTGTCCGGCTATGTTATTTCCAACACTTCTTTGAATATATAGTTATGCCTACTGCCTGATGCTCATGCAACGTCGGAGATCGAAATGCCCTGCCTTTTTAAAAATGTGTTTTAAAAGACCAAAATAAGATCAACGTTAAAGCCAAATACTGCGTTCTTTCCTCAGGCAAAACTTCCAGCAAAGTCAGTGGGAGCTTTGCCTGAGTAAGGACGGGAGGTTTTATCCCTCTTCATCATTCTTCCCTGGGGTTCAAAGAAGATTTCTTTAAAACACTGCTGAGCTCGCCTCAGCGTCATTCTGAGACGGATTTCCCCCGTTCGGAAGGAGTATGCCCGGTCCCACCCGCCAGGAGTTCTCTGGTCAGTTTCTCTCCCACAGACACAGGCGTGACTTGTTACACAATGAATGGCACTCTAGCTAGCCCTGGCCGATCGCACTGCTGGGGCTTCGCTTCTGCTACAAACACGTTCACACGGTATTGCCACCACAAGAGAGGACCGAGTGAGGAGCAAGGACCCTCACTGATCTCGAAGCACACCCCACCGATCCCTCTGGCCACCCCCCGGTCAGGAAATGGCTCCAGCTGGCAGGCTGCTGCAGCTGCTCTGGACCAAGCCTCAGCTGAGTGTCAGAGACTTCCTCCCCCCGTTTGGAACAGCCCATCACACCGCTGCTCGGAAGGGAGGCGAGCCCGAGCGGCGAGCTCCGGCGGGGGAGGGGGCAGAACTCGGGCGCAGCGCGCTTGCAGCTGGACACAGCTGGAGCAGCAGCGGCGCCCTACTCGCCTGCAGGCTGCACCCGGCGGGGGGCGTTCGCCCAGGCGCTTCTACCCGGGGGCGCCGCGGAGTTGGCAAACTTGCCCCCGCCCTGTGCAATTCATCTCCGCGTGTCCCATTACCTTGGAGAGGAGCGAGCCCGGGCGCGGCGCGGCGCGGCTGCACTGAGCTGGCTGGGGAGGGAGGGTTTTCAGCAGCCGTAAAGCGGAGAGAGCCCTTTCCCTTCCCTGAGCTGCTGTGTGTGCTCGTTGCAAGAGATCAGCAAAGGGCCAGGGCCAGAGCCAGAGGGAAAGAGAGAGCGAATGAGTCACAGCCAGGGAGACATGTCTGCACGGGGAGGAACAGGGTTTAAAGGGCAGGAGGAGAGGGGCTGTGGCGGGGAGAGGGGGGTGGATTCCTGCAGAACAGAACTAAAGAGTAGCAGAAAAGAAAAATCTGAGCCTAGCCACGTGGAAAAGCAGAAGAGCCTCTACCCTGCTCCCCACCCCCTTGCTGTCCAGATGGTCACTGTCCTACATGTAAACACGACCTTTCATCAACATGAAGCCAAAGAGGTGTTCAGTATCAGGTGTTCAGTGTCATCCTACCATCATTCAGGGATTTTATCCTCACGGGGCTCTAGCAAGTAGGAAAGTGTCATCCCACAGATGGGGAGGCAGGATAGGGTAGATTAAGGGCATTGTCTACACTACCAAAGGTCGTTGACCTTGGTTTCACCACCATACAGTCACCACAATAACTAAATGGCTTTTGCATCTCCACCAGGGGTGAAGGTGAGCCGGTACGGGCTGATACTCCGTACCAGTAAGAACCCGCACCGGCCCATACCCAGCCCACATTAAAGCGGCGGGCGCAGCAATGTTAAAGCGCTGCCACGGCAAAGGGCCCTGCAGCACTTTAATGTCCCTGCCCCATTGCCCCCTCCACCCCCGCAGCCTCTGACGGGCGCGGGGGCAAAGGGAGCAGTTGCCCTGGGGCCGGCGATTTGAAAGGGCTAGCGCAGCAGCGGCGTCCGGAGCCCCGGGCCCTTTAAATCAACACGGGAGCCCTGGGCAGTGCGGGTCAGGCGGCCTGGAAGGGCTGGTTGAGGGATGCTGACCCCCCAGCCCTGCCCCCTTCTGATCGAGGCCCCTCCCATTCCAGGGGCTGAAGGACCCCCCAGCCCGTACCAGTAAGTGTCCTAACTTACTTTCACCCCTGGTCTCCACACTACACTCCTAGTGTCGGCAGTGCGCATCCTCAGCAGGAGCGCTTACACCGATTGCACTGTCAGTGTGGGGCATCGTAGGATGGCTGCTGAGAGCAATGCACTGTCTGACACTAAGTCAACCTAACTACATCAACGTTGCTCTACTAGGCCTCTCGAGGAGATGGAGATCTTAAGTTGGCGTAGCAGGGCAGTTAAGTCAGCAGGAGCAAAATTTTACTGTAGACACTTACATAGGTCAATGTAATCTGTCTTGCGTCCACTTTATTCTGGCCTAACTAACTTGGCCAGAGCCACACAGAAAGTCTGTGGCTGAGCCAAGAATTGAACCCAGGCAATGGGTGTCTCACTCTAGTGCCCTAGCCACTAGACAATCCTTCCTCACAGCTGAACATGGCTTATTTTGTCTAGGAACTGGCCTAAGCTATACCGCCCAACGCACTCTTTTGCTAGTATACGATGTGTCTGTGTAACCCACACACCTCCTGGGTGTGGTGCTCTGTCCCATCTAGTGGCTCCGAGACCACTTAGAGAGTTAAAGGAGTCAGCTCTACACAGGGGTGGCTCTAGCTTTTTTGCCGCCCCAAGCACGGTCCTGCGGATTCGGCGTACCCGCCGCTGAATTGCCGCTGAAGCCGCAGGACCAGCGGACCTCCTGCAGGCTTGCCACCGAAGGCTGCCTGACTGCCGCCCTCGGAGAGACTGGCAGGGCACCCAGCCAGTTGGCTTTTAGCTCATGTGGTAGAGGCTCATGCACTAAGCTGCAGAGGTCCCCAGTTTGATCCTGCCCGCCAACGACCTGTTGGTGTTACATCTGCACTAGGAGGAGTTTTGAGTATAGCTATACTGGCAAGCCCTTTCTAATGTAGACAAGGCTTAAGGGAAGGAGAATAAGCTTTACCAGTGTAAGGTACCTTTATATCAGTATAACTGTGTCCACTCTAGGAATTGCACTAGTATAACTTCTTTGTATAAAAAAACCCCACCGCTGAAATAGTTATATCAGTAAAAAACTATGTAAACCACACTTAAGTTTAAAATCATGAGGCAGGAGCCAAATCATCTGTTTTGGGTCCTGTTTCTTAACAATCTGGTTTCTGAGCCTAAAAGCCGAGGCTTTAAGAAAAACAGTAAATACTGTGAGATTTGCGATAGAATTGCCAGAGTTGGCAACAGTGACAGTTGGCCACAATCTGCAGCGGAAATTCTGACCATTTGTCTAAGTATAGTTAAGTCTTTGAATGGGGTTGTTCAATAAAAAGTGAGCTTGCCCATATTTTGGGGCTGAGTTCTCATTTTCTCAGGCACATTAAAATGAAATAATACTGCTGCTGCAATTGCCTCTCTGCATTCTGCTTGCTGTTTTGGACAATTGGGCCAGGTTTTCCCATTTTTATGCTCTAGTTTTTAGTGTCTGACTTTCACTTGGGCTTCTATGTTTAGTTTTGCCCATACTTCACTATAAATTAAAATGTCATTGGCACCACCAGTCTGAGGCTATGAGTCTCAACTGAGGCTATATAATAATTTATTTCAAAAGTAAGTGAAAATTCTAATACCCAAACAATATTACGGACAGCATCCATCTGGTTTGAAATCTACACCGAAATACAGACCAGCCCTAGTTTAGGCTGCTGTTGGTCTGGAGCACTCATTTTGGCTGTGTCTGCAAATAGGTTTTATTCCAGGTTCCGCTTCAAGCCAGTGGAGAATAACCTGATAAATCTGCAAAAAGAACAGGAGTACTTGTGGCACCTTAGAAACTAACAAATTTATTAGAGCATAAGCTTTCGTGGGCTACAGCCCACTTCTTCGGATGCATATAGAATGGAACATATATTGAGGAGATATATATACACACATACAGAGAGCATGAACAGGTGGGAGTTGTCTTACCAACTCTGAGAGGCCAATTAAGTAAGAGAAAGAAAAGAAAAAAAAACCTTTGGAAGTGATAATCAAGATAGCCCAGTACAGACAGGTTGATAAGAAGTGCTATATAGAGTGTATATGAATACAAGTAGCAG